TTCAATTTTAAAAATAATTATTACAAAAACTCATTTACTACAGTGTGTTAATATTTTAAATATTAGAGTAACTTTTTAAAAATATGCTTGTTTTAATTAAATTAATACTTTAATTGTAGTAATTTTAAAAATTATAACTTAATACTTAAATATATTAATTTAAAAGCAATCCTTTAGTACAAAATTACTATCAAGGTTACAAAGATTGTTGCAAAAATATATCATAACATAACAAAGTTGATTGTTTTGATAATTAAAAATTATTTGAATTATTGGAGTTGTGCCGACTAAACCAAAGTTTATGTTAAACGTTAGTACATTGTGAACTCGTTGTTGATATACTGTAGTAAGTTATGTAGCAGTTATATAAATAGTTATTATTTTAGGACATATGTATTAAATGTATGGTTATATAAGTGCTGAATTCATTAAAATGCACTTCATATACAGGTTTAGTTAAGACTCTCTAATAACATTTACTGTACAGTAGATGCAGTAAATCAAGTATTTTATACTTATAAAAGTTTAGTTATATTNCAGTAAATCAAGTATTTTATACTTATAAAAGTTTAGTTATATTAACTTTGTTCATCAATTCTTAACGTTTATTAAAATGGATACAATTTTTGGAAATTCGTGGATATTCTATGGCTTTCTATCATCGATTCCTTTATTTTATTGGTAATTATTAGTAATATTTTTATATATTAATAAGTTTTATAATTGTATTCAATATATTTAAGGTATATGACAAGAAATTTCAATTATTGGTCCCAAAAAGGAGTGAAAGGACCAAGTCCTAGTCCCATGTTCGGCAATATTTTATCCTATTTCATAACACCCAGGCCACATCTAAATATGCAATGGCAGAAATTATATGGCAAAATATATGGGTTTGTAGTCATATAGTCTACTTGAAGTTTGTTAAATGTTGTTGCAAACTATTTTTAAAATATGTGTACAATTTTCTATAATATTTAGCGTATATAACGGCAATAAACCGGTGCTAATGGTGGCCGAACCCGAACTCATTAAACAAATTTGTGTCAAAGACTTCCATATATTTTCGGACAGAAACACAAACCGACGAATCCATCCAATTCTGAGCAAACATTTGGTCGTAGAAACCGGTGACGACTGGAAGAGAATCCGATCGATAGTCACCCCAACGTTCAGCTCATCAAAGATGAAGAAAATGTATCCAATGATCAGACAGTGTTTGGATGACTTCATCGTTGAATTAGACGTTTACGCCAAAGATAAGGGCGACGTAAACGTGAAGATAATGTATGGCAACTATACTATGGATGTGATCTCTCGTTGTGCATTTGCTACCAAAACTAATTCACATAAAGATCCAAACGATCCGTTTATAATAAATGCTCAGAAAGTGTTTGCACCGAAAGTGTCCCGAGCATTATGCTTTATGTTGTTACCGACCTTTGTATTAAAGGCATTTAATATGAGAGGTATAGCCGAAGAATCAGCGAATGAGTTCTTCTTTAACATCACTCGTCATGTAATGAAAACGCGAAGCAATAGTCAAAAGAAATACAACGATTTCATTGAGTTATTAATGAACGCACAGAAGAGTAGTACTAATAATAACACCAAAGATGTTAACCATTACGACGAGAATGATAGCAGTGAAGCACATCATGTGAATGAAGGTTTGCAATCATTTCTAATCATATTTATTAGTGTTTATNTTGAGTTATTAATGAACGCACAGAAGAGTAGTACTAATAATAACACCAAAGATGTTAACCATTACGACGAGAATGATAGCAGTGAAGCACATCATGTGAATGAAGGTTTGCAATCATTTCTAATCATATTTATTAGTGTTTATTAATTTATATAACGAATATGCTTTAAGTTAATATTAAATATGATGTAAAATAACCCTTTAGACTTAGTGTTGATATGATATTTATTAGATCTTAATACTAGAGTACTTTCGGTCCTAAACGTCAGGAGTTATAAATAATTATGAAATTTAAAATTTAAGTTAATATTTTAAGTATTTTTAATAAAATATTTTGTTTGATATGAAAGGTGAGGAAGAGAAACAGGTGGAGAATAAGATCTTAAGCAGTGTTGACAAGTATATCACTGAAGAGGAAATCCTGGCCCAGTCGTGGGTCTTCTTTGTTGCGGGATATGAGACGACTGCCACTACTCTTACTTTCGCTTCCTATGAATTGGCTCTCAATCAGGACTCACAGCAAAGACTATACGAAGAGGTGATGACTGCAGTGGACTCTAAAGGAGAGATAGATTACGACATATGTTAACCATTACGACGAGAATGATAGCAGTGAAGCACATCATGTGAATGAAGGTTTGCAATCATTTCTAATCATATTTATTAGTGTTTATTAATTTATATAACGAATATGCTTTAAGTTAATATTTTAAGTATTTTTAATAAAAAATTTTATTTGATATGAAAGGTGAGGAAGAGAAACAGGCGGAGAATAAGATCTTAAGCAGTGTTGACAAGTATATCACTGAAGAGGAGATCCTGGCCCAGTCGTGGGTCTTCTTTGTTGCGGGATATGAGACGACTGCCACTACTCTTACCTTCGCTTCCTATGAATTGGCTCTCAATCAGGACTCACAGCAAAGACTATACGAAGAAGTGATGACTGCAGTGGACTCTAAAGGAGAGATAGATTACGACATATTGGCGCGACTGCCGTATTTGGATGCAGTCATCTCAGAGACATTGAGACTTCATTCGCCGGCAATCATTCTTATACGACAGGCCTCTGAAGACTACAAATTAGGCGATACAGGAATTACATTAAAGAAAGGACAACAACTGGAAATCCCAATATATGCTGTCCATCATAACGAGGAATTCTATGAAAAGCCAAATGATTTCATTCCCAACCGATTCCTACCGGAAAACCGACATAACATCAAACCCTACTCTTATATCCCATTCGGCGCCGGCCCTCGAAATTGCATCGGAATGAGATTTGCTTTAATGGAGGCTAAGCTGGCATTGGCTCAAGTGATTAAGAGATACCGATTCTTCCGAAGTCCTAATACTGACGTTCCCTTACTGTTGAACAAGAGTACAATCCTTCACTCACCCAAAAGGGTTATCGTAGGCATCGAAAAACGTGATCAATAGTGAAAACAGTGATCATTTGTTTGTGGCAAATGTTGTAAATAAAATTCTAGTGACTTAAATTGGCTCTACTTATATAGTAAATATTAAAAAAAATTATTTTATATACCATATATAAATTATTCTGTGATCTAAATAATGTAAACAAGTTTTGTTTGATATACTTGTGTCATTTATAATATAAACTTTATATGACAAGTGATTTTAAATGTCAAAGCAATAAATTGGATAATAAATTATCAAATATAACCTTATATTTTACCCTTTCTATTTATTTCTACAAATTAGTGATAAAACATACATTTAGAATAAACTATTCATAAACATTGAAAAGAGTATTGCAAAAAAACATTGAGTAATGAGAATTCAAAAGAAATTAAAAATGATCGAAAATGAAAATTATTAAAACACTACTTTTGTTACATAACTTAATGTACCAATAATAAATAATAAATCAAAGTGATAAAATTATCTTTAGATAAATTACCCGTTTGGTGCCGGCCCTCGAAACTGCATTGGAATGAGATTTGGTTTAATGGAAGCGAAGTTAGCATTGGCTCAAGTGATTAGGAGATACCGATTCTTCCAGACTCCCAATACAGACGTTCCCTTACAGCTGAACGTTAGTCTGGCTATACGTACACCTAAAAGAGTGATCATTGGCATTGAAAAGAGGCTGTAATTAATGACCATATTTTATAAATTATTTTAATAACTTTAGATGCATTTAGAATTGTACCTGTACTCATTTACTTATGTAGAAATCATAGTATATTTTATATTTACTTATATAAATTTATTCATATTAAATACTGTATTTAAATATAATAAAAACTAAATAAATTATATTTATGAATTATTAAAAATATTCTTAAATTAAAATGTTTTATTATTGAATATTGTTACTATATTATTATTAAATAATAAATAACTCAGTGAAATACTTCATTGTATTAATATAAACATTTATTAAGCTATAAGTTATAGTTAATAAGTTATAAATTATAAAATACGCTAAATAAATCAATATATAATACAATAATTATACTAGTATCAAAAATTCAATTTTAAAAATAATTATTACAAAAACTCATTTACTACAGTGTGTTAATATTTTAAATATTAGAGTAACTTTTTAAAAATATGCTTGTTTTAATTAAATTAATACTTTAATTGTAGTAATTTTA